AAAAACAGATTAGAGAGCTATAAATTTATATTTAAAAAAAAAACTAACCAAAATCTATCACCAAATTAAGAAATAACCTAGTTATGAGTTGTAATATCTATTTGGAAATATATTTGTGACTTATATGAGTAATATAGGGAATATATATAGAATACTAATAAGGATAGTCAGAAGTGCAAAAATCTCAGATAGGCTCAAACAGGTACAACCTTACTAGGAAGAGATTTGGTGCAAGGATAAATTAGTCCTAATCTAATATAATATTAAAATAATAAATTGTAACTATAATTATATAGTTTATTTAATAAAGTTATAGTAAAAAACACCCACTCTTTAAAAAAAAAAAAAAAATCCTCGGACACATGATTTTAAACCAATCGTGACACAGGATCAGGTGTAACGTGAAACAAAACAAACTGCTGGCCTTTTTTAAAAAAACTACTTTCTGCATCTTAGCAAAAAAAATTCCTTGAAAAATTTTGCTATATACCCCTCCTTTTCTACTATCATCCTAATGCTCACCCTTATCCTAACGTCAAAAGTTAATTTTTTTTGACCGAAAAACGCGTTGACGATCTGTGGTTTGTTTTGGCCAATGAAATTTTAGCGTATATCATCACGAGACCGAATTTTTATGCTATCGCTATCGCTATGTATAATCTATACAAATGATTATCACGATTTATTTTTTTAGCCAATTAGCTCATTTAATAAGCTACAGAGGCACTTGTAGGTATTAGCACATGATACGTACACGGAAAATATGTATGTACACAAAAAGATTTAAGACACAAACTGAATCTAATCTCAATTACTCATTGTTTGTTTTTCTCCAGGATTTATTTTTTATTTTTTCTAGTATTTTTTTTAATAATGACTCTCAAAGTACCAAAAGAATATGGATATGTGGGATTTTTTATTCCAACAAATTAATATTAATGAATTATGTATTACGAAGTATGCTAATGTTGTTTTCCTATTATCGTTTTTATTTTAGGTCATTATTACTGGCGTTGCGTCGGTAATTTTGACTGGATACCTCGGTAAGATTTTTTTTTTTTTTTTTTTTTTGTAAATTAATTTCAATATTAATATTTCTTTATCAAAAGGTATCAAAGTTTGTTTTAGTCGTAGAAAGGCAGCCATTCCATATCCGTTTAGTAAGTTACCAGCAGAAAAAATAAATAGATGATAGAACTTTAACAAAATAAAATCGATTGATTATTAGTGTATGCAACTCGAGAAGAAGCCGAAAATGATTCTAAAAAATGATTTTTAACTGTTACCAAAGAGCTCATCAGGTTTTATTATCGCGAATAGTAGAGTCGAATCTTGTATTTAGACTTGTCTATATTAAAATTGAGTAACTAAATAAAAGAAAGCTTTACGATCCGCCAAAATTGTTGTTTTCTTAATGAAAAGGTTATATTAAATATATATATATATATATATAATATATTCATGATTATTTCTTAGGATACACTTGAAAACTACCCACAAATTCTTTACACGTATGTTTAAATATGATCCACGTATCTCTTACTGTAGTACAAGGTTGCATATATTTAATAATATTCTAAAAAAACTAGCCTCGTCTTTGGAGGGTTGAAACATCCAATTCTTTCCTCTATTGGTGGTGGAATTTGGATTTTAGGTAATACATAATATATCCTAACCTCGTAAATAAATTTATAATATTCAGCATTAACATCCTCTTATACAATATTCACTTAATTCATTTATACTTTGTTTGTGGATACAAAGGTCGTTTAGTTTACGCTTTGGGATACCAAACAGGGGACCCGCAAAAAAGACATATAGGTTACTTTTTTTACATTGGCGAATTAATGCTACTTTGTACTACTCTCTCCACAGGTATTAGTTTTTTAATTCCGCAAAAACAAGCCAGGAGACTTTGGTAACTGAGTTGAAACTAGGGTTGCGACCCAAATTATTTTTTTGAGTCATGACATTATTACATAGTTAGGGTTTGGGAATCGGGATTTCCACTTAATTTGGGTTTATAACCAAAAACCCAAATATATGTCTCATTTGTGTCAAACTCGAAAACCAATCGAATTTGTTAAAATTATTATTTTTTTTAGTACGTAATATACAATAGAATATATTATGTTACGGATTATCGTGAAATTTGGGGGTCTCAATTTGAAAATATAAGCCCTACCAAAATCTACCTATACTCTTTTATTAATAATTCTAACCCTAAATCCTAACTTAACTATAAAAAAAAAGCTTATCCGTGACATATTATACTGTATATTGTTGTCTGGAACGAAGTGACAGACCATTTATTGTATGGAACGAAGTGACAGACCATTTATTTCTATGCATTGTGATACAAAAATTACTTTTTTGATGCATTATATATTAAAATATCAAAAAAGTAACTTTGCATTTTCCGTCTGTCCACTCACATGATTTAGGGTTACATGCAAATTTTAGGCTTATCCTACACCCTACATGTTGTTAATCTATAAAAAAGGGTAGTTTTTTTGGTGCTACATTAAAAATAGGGTTATTTTTTTTAAACCCTATTTTCTTATTCTGCATCCTATATATTGTTAATCTATAAAAAAAGATGAGTTTTTTTTGGTATTACATTAAAAATAGGATTTTTTTAGAGTCTTATTTTTATATAATATAGTTAATAAATTATTTTCAAAGATATCTTACTATCTACTAGATTGATTTTGATAATTTAACTATTATTAGAATCATCTCAATGAGCTTTATAACTTTAATTAGAGACTCAAAGATAATTATCTTAGTACAAAAAAGTTTAAAACTTTAATATATTTAAATAAGTTCCAAATACCTAATAATATAATAAAAAGGAAAATTATAGATAGTAACCCATCGCTATGGTGACCCCATATAATCAGCCAATCATATTTGAGATTAGCGATTATATATAAAAAACTATTTTTTTTGATAACAATTTTTTGCTTTGCTTTGCTTTGCTTTGCTGGTTTGTTTTTTTTGCTACTTTGCTGTTTTGCTGTTTTTGTTGCTTTGGTTTTTTTTTTGCCATTTGCTTTTTCTTGCTGTTTTGCTTTCTTTTGATGCTTTGCTTTTCTTTGGCATTTTGCTTTCATCACTGCTTTGCTTTTTTTTACCATTTGCTTTTCTTTACTGTTTTGCTTTTGCTGCATTGCTTTTTTTTGCCATTTGGTTTTTTTTTTTCTTGCTTTTTTTTTCGTTTGGTTTTTTTATTCTTTTTTATCTTTTTTTACTTTTCGTACTTTTTTTAATTTTCTCGCTTTTTTTTCTTTCCTTTCTATTCTTTTTCTGCTTTTTTTTTCTTTTTTCTGCTTTTTTTTCACTTTTTTTTCTTTTTATTCTACTTTTTCTTTCTTTTTTTTTTCCTTCTACCTACTTTCTACACTTTCTTTTCCTTACTTTTTTTTTTCTTTTCCCTTTTTCTTTTTTTTTCTTTTTATCTCCACTTTTTGTTTCTACTTTATTTTGTTTTCACTTCGTTTTGTTTTCACTTTATTTTGTTTTCACTTTGTTTTGTTTTCACTTCTTTTTGTTTCCACTTCTTTTCATTTCTACTACTTTTTGTTTCTACTTCTTTTTCGCTTTTTTTTTTCCCCTGCTTTTTTTTTTCTTCTTGCTTTTCATTCTTTTTTCTTTACTTTTTTTTCTTTTTCTTCTTTTCCTTTTATCTTTTCTGCTTCTTTTTTTTTTTTTTTCTTTCAATTTTTTCTTTTTCACTTTCCTCTTTTTTGTTTCTTCTTGTTTTTTCTTCTTTTTTCACTCTCTTTTCTCTTCTAGTTTATATTCTATTTTATTTTCTTCACTTTTTTCTTGCTTTATTTTTTTCTTTTTTTTTGTTGATTCTTTTCTGTCTCTATTTTCTTTTTTTTCTCATTTCTTTCTCTGCTTTCTTTTTTTTTTTTGTTCTTTTTTTGCTTTATTTCTTTTTTTCGTTTATCAACTTCTTTTTTATCTTCGCTTTTTCTTTCTTTTTTTTTTTTACTTGTTATTCTTTTTTCGTTAATTTGACTAACCTATTTTTTTCTATAATTTTAGCCTTTCCAGTCATTCATGAAATCACTATTTTTGGAGCCATTATTCTTGGAGCCATTGTTCTTGGAGTTGGAGTCATCTTTTATGAAGTTGGAGTAATTTTTCTTAGTGCTATTATCATTCTTGGAGTTAGAGTTATCATTTTTTGTGCCATCGTCGTTTTTGAAGTTGGAGTCATCATTTTTTGTGCCATCATCGTTCTTGGAGTTGAAGTCATCATTTTTGTATCATCGTTGTTCTTGGAGTTGGAGTCGCCATTTTTTGTACTGTCATTATTCTTGGTCATTTTTTGTGTTATTATCGTCATTTTTTGTTATTGCTATTAGTTTACTTTTGCTATTGTCAATGCTTTCAAGCAGATGGATAAGTGGGTTTTTAAACGAAGCTGATATGGTCAACATGAGCAGATTTGATGTAATAAAATTTTTGTATTTTATTAATAATAAATAAACTTAAAAAAAATTTTTTTTTAATAAAATCATATAACTCACATGATCAATTTTGATTGGTCAATCACAAGGTTGCCATAGCAATAGATCGCTATAAAATGTCGGGGATGATGCTGAAATCAGATGATGCTGAAATTCACGTGATCACATGATGATCTTCTGTATAAACACACTAGCATTACTATCGCCGTTGGTGTTAGAGTTAGGGTTAGGGAATGGTGGTTTTTGGTTTGATTTTACATATATTACATCTAATTACACTAGGGTAATTAAAATATGGTCATACCCAAACCCAAACTCTAACATTAACAGCAAAATTTTTTAGTTGGTGATGCTAGGGTTCTATAAGCACTTTAGGCTTGTTTATACGGAAGATCATCATGTAATCACGTGAATTTCAGCATTATCCGATTTCAGCATCATCCCTGACAATTATTATTATTTTGAATCAAATATCATTATTTTGTAAATTGTTTTTGTAAAAAAATTGAAATTTGAAACATTTGGGCTGAAGGGTAATACAAAACAAAAAATTAACTTGGTAGATATTGTAGATCAACATATCCACTTGTTTAGTTTTTTATAATAAATATATAAAATTATTGGTTATTTTTATAACAATAACTTTTTATATATTAGCCTTATTAAAACAATTTTATTACCAAAATGTTCGTCTCAATAAGATGATTCCAACGAGCCCAAAATCATCCAATCACAGGATCTCAAGATATTTTTGCATCAAATACATGACTCACTTTCTACCCTAGAATGATCGGTTCGATATAGGTTTTACTATATCAAACTGATTGTTTCAGGGTAGAAGGTGTGTCATATATTTGATATAAGAATATCTCAAGATCCTGTGATTAGATTTGGATGATTTTGGGCACGTTGGAATCGTCTTATTGAGATGAACATTTTGGTAATAAAATTATTTTAATAAGGCTAATATATAAAAAGTTATTGTTATAAAAATAATCAATAATTTTATATATTTATTATAAAAAATTAAACAGGTAGATATAATTAAAATAATTTATTTATTCTCATAGTTATTTACTGTAGAAGTGGAAACAACAATTATATGACAGGAAATTTCTTCTATCAAAGTTAATATCACTCATAGCTATACACTCATAGCTATACATGGAAGTGACATTAATTTTAATAAAAAAAAATACTAAAATTATTATTTTTCATCATTACCAGTATTGTACATGTAGATAATTACTTGACGGATAGATTGTATATCAATAATTAAAATTAGTATAAATAAATACTATATTTATTGATTTGATTGTTGAAAAGTAATTTTTTAAAGAGTTAAGTAATCATCTAGCAGTTATGTAGCTAATTAACTGTTTAAGTTTTCCATTTCTAATTTTGTATAATAACATGCATAGCTATCTAATTTGAAAATTATTACAAATAAGAGCCAAAAATAATTATACATTTAAAAATTTATGATTTAAGCTCCATTTTGATTATTTGAAAATGATTGTAATATAGTTATTAGTAATAATAATCAATTAGTAATCCGAATAAATTCAGATACACAATATCAATCTATTATTTGTGCTGTAAATTTATTTTATTGAAATTCTTGAAAAACTCGCTTATAACAAACATCATGTCAAATACAAATTTACAGATTGGTGTGACTTTACTAATATAAAAAATAGTTATTCGGTCTTGAACAGTTAACCTGTTGAATCTGTTTCTTTTTATAATTTTAGAATAAACAAACTCAATAAGCTGTTGGCTATTGGT